TACTGTAAAATGATAAATACAAAGTCTTCATGAAAACATCCAAAAGGCTTTATAATGTGGTCTTATAATTTATAAGTGGTCTTTGTGTTAGTGGTCTTTGAGTTAGACCACTTATAAATAATAATAAAAATAATATTTGTTTCTCAAACAGCCATAAAATCAGATATCAGATCAGATGAATGTGTTCACATTTGCATTGAGCTAATTTTATTGTAATATCAGTATGGTTATTTTGATGGTACCCTTTAGACAACTGTTGATAAGTAACTTTGCAACTACAAGTCAACTAGCAGTCATTGGATTATTAGTAGTATGTCTGCTAAATATCTGCTAACACTTTATTTTGATGGTTCCCCAACAGACGTTCAACTGACTATTAGCAACTTTGCAAGTACGTCAACTTATTCTACCAACCCTAACCTTAACCTAAGTCTACTAATACTCTAATGAGAGTTAGTTCACATGTAGTTGCAAAGTTGCTTATAATCAATAGACTAAGGGGACCATCAAAATAAAATGTAATCTAATAATAAAAAAAATTTGAAAGTATTACAACTGATCTTAAACTAGCTAACAGCAAAATTAACATTAACCTCACAGGAGACCCTCAAAAACACTCAACCACTCCTAACCACTCACAGTATGTAGTAAGATACTGTGCAGATCTTAAATAAACAATGTCACGATATGAGATAATCCATTATAAATTAAGTGGATTTAATATGGTATTAATTGTGTGTTATAAATAATCATACTCTTAAAAGTTATAACCACAAATGTGCAAGTATTACAATGTATTATAATTGTTGTTATGATTATTCATGAGATGATACAACATATTATAAGTGTTTTTATAATGCATGATGCATTCATTATAATGCCTTAAGAATACCCTTATATTGTATTATAAATATGGGCTTCATAGAAAGTGTTACCAAATTTACAATTTTTGTGTGTGCTTTGTATTTGAATGCTTATTGGAATATGATGCTGTTAGCTTAGCAGCATGCTAATCTAACTCTATCCGCTTAAGTTGGACGCCACACATGACCTTTTCGGGGTCTAAACCCTCTATCAGATGCCAAAAGCAAAGAATAAATGGTGCTAAAAATACTCACGGTGTGCTGTAATACTACAGAAAAATCACATACTAACCGAAATCTCAGATGGCCATACAGTGATTCATCTTTTATGAATCGTTAAAATATTGGTGTCTGGGACACCGTGACTTTTTAAAAGCTTAGCTTAAATTTGAATATAAATATACAGTTCTCATAAAAGGCTAGATAGTATTCTCCATTGAAAGAGTAGAGAATTGGACCCATGAATATTAAGTATTCATTATTTCACGACTTAGATTGGAATAAGATTTGAAACTGGATAGATTAAAAACTGTCAGTTAAGCCAATTTGAGTTCTGTTTGTATGGCGCAGACTTCCTGCCTTTGTAGAGAGTTTCAAGTCAGTCACTTATAAGGTTCCTTGGTTAGGATTCATTCCTAAAAGGCTGTTGCCTATATAAGCACTAGACTGCTCACTAGGTTTTGGACCAGAGCCTGAGCGAAGAAAAATCTCAGTTGATTCAGAATTAAAAATGGATTGCATAAATATCCTAATACCAACCCAAACTCATGTATTATAAATATGGGCTTCATAGAAAGTGTTACCAAATTTACAATTTTTGTTTGTGCTTTGTATTTTAATGCTTATTGGAATATGATGCTGTTAGCTTAGCAGCATGCTAATCTAACTCTATCCGCTTAAGTTGGACGCCACACATGACCTTTTCGGGGTCTAAACCCTCTATCAGATGCCAAAAGCAAAGAATAAATGGTGCTAAAAATACTCACGGTGTGCTGTAATACTACAGAAAAATCACATACTAACCGAAATCTCAGATGGCCATACAGTGATTCATCTTTTATGAATCGTTAAAATATTGGTGTCTGGGACACCGTGACTTTTTAAAAGCTTAGCTTAAATTTGAATATAAATATACAGTTCTCATAAAAGGCTAGATAGTATTCTCCATTGAAAGAGTAGAGAATTGGACCCATGAATATTAAGTATTCATTATTTCACGACTTAGATTGGAATAAGATTTGAAACTGGATAGATTAAAAACTGTCAGTTAAGCCAATTTGAGTTCTGTTTGTATGGCGCAGACTTCCTGCCTTTGTAGAGAGTTTCAAGTCAGTCACTTATAAGGTTCCTTGGTTAGGATTCATTCCTAAAAGGCTGTTGCCTATATAAGCACTAGACTGCTCACTAGGTTTTGGACCAGAGCCTGAGCGAAGAAAAATCTCAGTTGATTCAGAATTAAAAATGGATTGCATAAATATCCTAATACCAACCCAAACTCATTATGATATTCAAGTGTTCAAGGATGATTAAAAAAAAATGGAGAAAAAAAACAACAAAAGTACCATCTGCGAATATGGGGTAAGAAACTAATCTCAGACCTTCATCTGAAAATGTAGTGAAACAGACGGTGTTGAGCTAGCAAATGAACTACTGCACCAACAGAAACAGCAGCTAATGAATATCTCATCACCTCCAGAGGGATTCAACACAACAATGATTTATAATAATGGCCCTTGATAACAATAACATCAATTGATGGGCTTGGTCTCCAGAGAGGGCTGTGTGCAAACACAACACAACAACGCTGGAATTTATTACACTTTACATAATTCATCAAAGACATGAACTAATTTCCGAGGGTAACTAATTCAATTTGAGGCAAAACGGTGATCCTGCAAATGCAGAGATTCTGGCTGCGGTCAAGGTCTGTTCATTCAGCATGTCCTCTAGTCTTAATTGTACTACACAAACAAAAAAAACGCAAGGATTTGATCATACATCAAAAATAATTCTTAAATCTTAACTACAGCTTAGCTTAGGGCTGTTTATTACGTCAAATTTGCCACAAATGTGTATCAGAATGCAGGAAGGAGGACACGGACTCATCAAGTTACTGACCCAGAGATTCCCAAACACAGATGATTCTACGTACCTCAGGACTTTTCCTGTTTTGCATGATCTGTTTATCTGAATCCTTGTTTGCAAAGTATCGGGTGCAGCCACGATTCAAATACTGAGTGAAACACAAACACACAGTGAGGGAAGTTAATATATGAGACCAAACATACATTCCTAATCATTGTAAAGCAAATATGCCATCTAGTGGTACATCTCCATTTTCATGGTCTCACGTATTTAATGTTTACTGTATACAAGGCCTGGAAATCACATATTGGATTTTATTTGATGTGTTCAGTTGACACTTCCTGCAGTTGTGTGCTTTGATACAGTCTGTTTGCTATGGTCACAGTTGTCAGATTGCTTCCATTGCACCAATTATAACACAAAGTCTCAAGGTTTCCTGTTGAACAGAGTGTCTAAGCTTGGTAAAATGCTTTCCAGATTCCTGACACAGACAATACACAGGAAACTGACCCGGAAGTTATCCGGAGAGTTGAGATGAAGCATGTTCCTGATGTCCTCGGATGCCCCTGCGCAAAGTCTGTAAAATATATGATAGTTTCGCTCTTCTGCACTCTGCATGCAAATCCGAGACTTCTCCAGCAGATAGTGCGAGACAAATCCGCCCACAACTGCATTCTGAAGACACAATGAACGCAATTAGTAACCTAGTCTTACAGAGATCACACTCTAGCCTTCAGAGTAAGGGAAATTTTACCTTCTCATTAAAGTGAATTTCCACAAACTTTCCAAACCGGCTGCTGTTGTTGTTCCTGACAGTCTTTGCATTTCCAAAAGCTTCAAGCAAGGGGTTGGCTGCACGGAACAGACACATTATTTAAAAACAGATTTTGCATCATATGCAAAAAGCAGACATTACTGCACTAGACACAACCAGTTCAAAGTGTCTTTGGAGAACCTACCCTCAACAATCCTTTCATCTATATCTTGACATGTTCCATAAGATGTGGTTAAATACCTGAAATCAAGCAGATCAAGACATGGTGAAAATGACAAAACGTGTTCAATAAAACACAAAACATATTTACCTACCAGTAACATTACTGAGCACTGCAACATGCTACCATTCAAATGTTTTGGGTCAGTGAGACTTTTCAATGTTTTTGAAAGAAGTCTCAACAAGGCTGCATTTCAGTGTCACATGATCCTTCAGAAATCATTCTAATATGCCGATTTGCTGCTCAAGAAACATTTCTTCTTATTATTATCATTGTTAAAATTGTTGTGTATAATAATTTATCTGAAACAGAAATCTTCTTTAACATTATAAACATCTTTATGGGTTACTTTTGACCTATTTAATGAACCCTTGCTGTATAAAAGTATTCATTTCTGACCCCAAAATTTGCATGGTAGTGTAACACTATTACATCACTGGAAAAAGTTTATTCAGGCTCCCTGAATAATCCTCATATCAAGTCACAAAAATGAAAACCACAATGGGTTTTCATGTTTTTGAACAGTTCCATAAGCAATTCTAATATGCCGATTTGCTGCTCAAGAAACATTTCTTATTATTATTATCATTGTTAAAATAGTTGTGTGTAATAATTTATCTGAAACAGAAATCTTCTTTAACATTATAAACATCTTTATGGGTTACTTTTGACCTATTTAATGAACCCTTGCTGTATAAAAGTATTCATTTCTGACCCCAAAATTTGCATGGTAGTGTAACACTATTACATCACTGGAAAAAGTTTATTCAGGCTCCCTGAATAATCCTCATATCAAGTCACAAAAATGAAAACCACAATGGGTTTTCATGTTTTTGAACAGTTCCATAAGCACACCATAATATTTTTTTTATAATTGTAATTTTTATAAAGAAATATATTTTCATGTCTAAAAAGAAATATTGTCCTAACTTCACCACTACTGCCAGGTATGGCAAAAACGACTACATTTGGACCCTGTATGCATGTGAGAATTTCGTCATTCAATAAAAATACTTATCATACCTGAGAACAAACTTTGTGTTTTCTGTTTTTCCAGCACCTGATTCACCGGACACAATGATGGACTGACTCATCTTCAGAACCCTCATGTCTCTGTAGGCTTTATCCGCTGAGACAGAGAGAGAGAGACAGACGTTTCTTAAAATCACTGTCTACACTGTAGCCATCTGAAAAAAAAAAATATCTACAAAAGAAAGACTTAGAACTGAATCCTCAAGTGTCCTATTAGACAGACGTTCAAATGCCCAATCACCAATAGCATAGACATGAGGGGGAAGTGTCCCCAAAGAGCGTCCCTGATAGCTCTTAATGGTCTCTGGGGAGTAGAGTTTAGGGATGTCGAAATACGGGTTCACAGCAATCAGGATGTTAGCCACAGACGTCTGAAATAAAACACACACATGGTCAGAGAACATTTAAAACGTTCATTGTTATGCGTGTGATTTTGTATTTGCAGTCTTCCATATTTTGGACAAACCGATCAATGGCTGAAGTCCCAACAATTGTTGATGTTTTAACCAGTGTCATTCAAAGCATCATACTTTCAGGTTAGCTGCGCCGTGTGGAGCGTCACTACCTCACAGGACCTAATTAAGTGCATTGGGCAACTTGATAGCATCTGAACAGGATTAGCTGGGTCATCTGAGACGTGAATCATGCTAGCTGGGTCATCTCCTGACAGGCTCGGGCACTGTGCTGAAGAGCGTACACTGACAGTGGGACCGCCGTCTCTCAGATGAGAGGCTAATAAGAGCTACTGGAGCACGACAATAACATGCCCATCAGCTCCGTACCTGCAGGCATGCCTGCCAATGAGATCTACGCCCTACAATGCCCTGAGGTGATTGTTAAGCAAAATATTTGAATACATCATGCATTTTTGTTTTTAATGATTTAAAGATTTAATGAAAAAATGATTTAACACATTTCATTACACCAAATACACAAAATAATGTTCTTTTTAGCAACATCATATAAAAATAATAATAATTGCTTAATAAAACAGCCACAGGCCTAAAGTGTAAGCAGATGTTTGAATGTTTAGTTCTCTCTTCTATCATAATTAAACAGGGCTTTCATGTTGCGCGTGCTGAAGCTCCTCCGTGTGGGCGCGATCTTGCTTCTGAATTGTGAATAGCAAAAATGCTTCATAGACAAATGTTTGAAAAACAGCTGGCGACTCAGGTGAGATATAATTTGCAAGATAATGTATATATAGCAATAATAAATGTATGTGTGTTTTATTAATTTCTCCAGTACCGATAGCAGAACTGTTAACGTCAGAGCTTATCGATACTCCGGTCTTTCATAATTTAGCCCCGGGACCGATTAAATACCGGGTTTTGGTACCCATCCCTACTTCTGTGTGAGCAGATCTTCATGCATCAGCATCACTACACTATTGACAATAGATAATGGACCTTTTTTTCTCTGCAAAATTTTTCTAATATGTCTACACCCTAAATCTGTAAAATTGTACCCTGCTTATGTTATGAGTTGGCCAAGTATTTGTGTATATGCATAGTTTTGGCCTTGGAAAAGGGCACAGAAATGATGGAAAACAAGAATTCAGAACAGGAATTTGACTTACATAGATCAAGTCTTTGCTGTAACGGACACAGATGTTGTTTAGAAGAGTGGCCTCATTTAAATACATAAGAGAACCTGGAAGTAAATATGTAAACACATAAGTAAATATATTCCAAGTAAATATGGGAATATCATTGAACATCATAAGATTAACTATTTAACATGATACTAATGGCTGATACAGTTACAACTATACTTACAGTTGTCTTCAACATGTTTGTTCACATCGTCCTCAGCAGGAAAGACTTGATTGATGGGGGCCAGGAACGTCTGCAAAATTCAAAATGAGCATTGTCAACTCTTGTGACCTCCGGCCAAATGAAAAACTTGGCCTAACAATAACTGCCTACATTGACCTATTTCTCTATTTATCCATATTATTAAAAGCGCACACCATTTACGACCACACAGAAGATTAATGGGACAAAAAACAAGTAAATGATGACAGCTGTTTGTCCTCTCATTTCCGACTGTCTGGTTACTTTCAGCGAGGTGTAAAGCTATAAACACTCAAGGTCTTCATACATTACGACTGCGCAAATGACACTGAAGAGCGGTGCTAGGTCAGCCATGATTGATTGAGTCTAATGGTGGCCATAATGTGGAGAAGAAACAGTAAAGTCATGTTAATGTGAAAGGTAAGAACATAAGCTGTGAAATTCATTACAGGACACATTATAAGACACCCAAAACTGCCCATCACACCACAGTGCGTTATTCAGAGCGAGATGAGACAGGCTGACCTTTCTCAGACAACTCATCTCATCCCTGCTGACTTTCCTGCTTTACATTATTCCACTGCCTCACTTTTATATAAGCCATTTACATTAGGAAAGTTATTATCTGCCTCAATGTCATGGTTATCATCTACCTCTTTGACCTAAAAAAACACACACAACCTTGATATATTCAAGTGGGAACTTCTCACACATTGTTTATCTTGGTTTAATAAAAGCTAATGTGCCACTGACAAATAAGAGTCAATGATGAAGAAAAAAAATCTATAGCTTCTTACAGTTCTTAGAAATTTACTCTTTGTATTATTCTTGTTGGTTTCATATGGTTTTGAAATAGATTTTAAAAAGTTAAGAAATTTAGGGTTTACATTTTTTTAAATAATAAAGAAATAATAAATACTATAATTTAGTAATTCATAAAACTAATTTATTTTAATAATTATATAATTAATGTATTGCTTATTTTAATACGTTTCTGAGGAGTTGCACCACATGACATTTTACAACTTGAACTGACTTTGTCATAAGAATGTCAAAAAGAAAATTTATATTTTCAGACTTACTGACCTTGACAAATAGTCATAAGGATTTGCAGGCGACCTATCTATGATATCATTTCCTGTTCTGTTCGTTTGTGTGTATGTGTCTGGCTGCACCACATGACTTAATTTCAAATATTAACAACATGAAATCAAAATGTACTATTCTTATTTTTTATGGAATATTGCAGTGTTTATTATAAATGATTTATCCGTGTACATCGTTCCTTTTTTTAAATCATGTGCCCTTGTAATCTTTAATCAAAATAACTTCCCATCCCCTTTGCACTGGCATCTCTTCTCTTCTCTGGCTGCATTTACACTTGGCATTAACATGCGATCACCGTGATCTGATCAAGCAGATCGGATCATCAGTCAATCAGGACATGGCGCGTTTACACTTGGCTTGGTAACACATCAGCTGACTTCTCGATCTGGATAACCGATCGGATCTGTATTTCTCGCGCAATATTTAAATAAGTCTGTGGTGCAAAGTCGACCTGAAGTGGTGGGTTTTCTTTTGAAAACTATTTTCAGTCACGGGACACTTTGCAAATCAAAATAAATGTACGAGTCTCACTAGCGCTCTGTTCTTC